GGCCAGAGGTGCCGGGGCAGGGGGCGGGTTGAGAGGATTCACCAGAAATAGAGTGAGGAGCAGAGCAGGCAGATGTGCTGAAACACACTGCTGAGGGGAGCAGCGGGGGAGACAGGAGAGGTCTGCTGCGCGTGTGGGCCACCCGCCGCCTGGGGATGGAACTCAGGCTACAGCAGCATAACAGCACTGACACTACCCGGCGCCACCAGGGAGGTCCCTGGAGAACGTGTCTTAAACTGAGTCGTGACCAGTGCACAGTTACTCAGTTGGCACCACTGGTTTACAGTTTTGACTAGGTCAGGCGCTCTAAATAAACTGTCTCAGTGACAGTACAGCCATTCTAGGGGCGCATCATCACCCCACTTACAGGGAGGAACGACTACTCAGAGACGTGTGTGACAGGCCTCGTGCTAAGTGACTTACAGACGCCTTCGCATCTTCACAGCAGTCTCCTGATTAGATTTTGGCAAAAACGTGAAGTCAGCCTGCCTTCCTATTTGTTTCTCTCTCTTTCTCATTATTCATTACCCAACATCTTTCTGCTGTAGGCAGGGTTAATATACTGGGCTTTGTAGACAATATAGACCACAGTGATTTTTCTCCTGCTTCTCTGTCTGGACCCTTCAGAACCCACCTGAAATGGTCCCTATTCTGGGAGTAACACCTGTTCTTGACCGTTCAGAGCCGGCCCACCTCCTTCCTCTTCCCCATATTTTACATCTAAAATACCAGTTTTCTCTGATTTAGAAAGAGTTAATGCCTATGCTGGAAGCTGGAGACCCAGATAACTCTAGAAAGTTCTCACCCTTAGGGAGAACTTAAAACCCAGTGATAGACAAGTACACACCAACAGGTCATAATGTAAAGTGAGTGAATAATGTTCTCTTTGAGGAAAATTATAGCAGCAGTCACCACTTTGCGAATTTTGAGGGCTGGCTCTTTCTGGCATTCTTTACCACTTTTGTTTCTCTTGCATTCCAGAAGCCCTTGAAAGTGGGCTTTGCACAGATAGGGAAACTGAGGGTAACTTGCCCAAGGTCACCCCGCCGGTCCGTGGCTAAACCCCAATGACGACCCAGGCCGGGAGGTTAGTGCCAGAGTCTCCCTGCAGGTCTGGCTGTGACCTTCCAAGAGGCAGCTGCTCAGTCTGTTCTAGTCTGGCTCGTCTTTCTGCCTGGTTATAACTGATGTTGAGAGCCCTCCCACCTGCAGCCCCTGTGAAGCCCATGGTTGGGTACATCCCAGGCCTCAGAGGCTGAACACTCTGAGAATGCTGCCTCCTTCCCTTTGGTGCCAAAGACTGAGCCCCTCTGGCTGAGTTAATGCGGAAGGACTTCCTGGAGGGGGCAGGCTAAAATGAGGAAGCACTTCCCAGGGTGCCACTAGGCCCCTAGAGTAGAAAGGAGCAATGATGAGACTTCCCTGGAGAAGAGCCCGTGGAAAGAAAGACCACATCTGGTCCTCTGGGAATCACCTGGGGCCTCTTTAGTCCTGGGCTGACCTCCCCTTAGAAACAAAATAAGAAAACCAGGGCTATTGCGGTCCGGGGCTAAGAACACAGCCTTTGGAGCGGAGCACCTGAGTTTAAGTCAGTTTCCAGCTCTGTGACTTTGTGCAAGTTGTTTATCTTTCAGGGCCTCAGTTTCCTCTTCCCCGAAACGAGGGGCTGCTGTTTGTGGCCCCGGCACTGTGTTGAGGTCCAAGTGAGTCCGGTGTGGGCTTTCATGGCAGGTGTTGCCTTTCACCACTGTAGTGGAGGCTGGTTGCTGGGGCAGTTGAAGAGGGAGTTAAAGAAATGGAATCGTTGTGCAATCAGGATCCCTTGGGAGCTGGCCGAGTTGCAGCCCCAGAGCAGTGCTCGGGCCTGGAACTGGGACGGCAGGGCCCCTCCCGTGCCCCCCAGTCTCTGGTGACCCTGGCACTGTGGGCCAAGGAGGCCCTTTCCCCAGCACTCTCCTCTGACGGGCCCAGGCCAGGGAGAGGTGCAGGATGAAGGCTGGGGTGCGCGTTGTCCCTGACAACAGGGTGACGTGGAGCAGCTCCCTCCCGGATGGCTCCCAGATGGGGACTGTTGGAGGCGTAGATAAAATGTTTGTGGCGGGGAAGCTCAGAGAGGCTGCCGAGGAGCCTGGAGCCCCTCACGCTGGAAGCTTGCTCGTCTGTTTAGTGTGCCTTTGTGTGTGCGTGTAGGCGAGAGTGTAAGGGAGCGAGTGCATGAGAGCTGTGAGTGTGTAAGAGAATTAGGAGTTTAAGAAGATTAAGAGACAGCGTGCGAGACTGAAGGAGTGTGAAGAGGTGTGTGAGGGTGCGTGTCAGGGTGATGGGCCTAAGGATGTGTGTGTGCTAGGGCGCGCGTGAGTGTGTGTAAGTGTGACTGTGTGTGAGTGTGAGTGTGTGTAAGTGTGACTGTGTGTGAGTGTGAGTGTGTGTAAGTGTGACTGTGTGTGAGTGTGAGTGTGTGCAGGAGAAGCGAGAATGAGGCAGGCAGAGGAGTGTGCAGTGTTGGGTGCAGGTGAGCGCCATTTCCCCAGCACCAGGTCCCGGCTGCCCCGAGGACCACCCCACCACCAGCCTCTTCACCTAGCGGGCCGACCGCACACCCGCAGGTCTCGGGCGCTGAGCCGTGGAATTCCCCGTGGCCCTGCGCTGAGAGGCCTGGAAGCCTGCAGACCCTGGGCCGGAGGGCTCAGGGCGTGAGCTGGTGGTGGGTGGAGCTGGCGTGGGGCTGTCGGCTGGTCCCGGTGCTCTCAGGGCCTCGGTTTCCCAGTCGTGTGGCTGGTGGAGGATCTGGGTGACCCCAGCTCCAGCTCTCATGGGGCTGGACTTGACTCTAAAAGCCTCGGCCCCACCCTGATTCCATCCTGGTGACATCACCAGTGCAAGTCTGGGCCCTGGGAATTTTGCCTCATCTCTGGGCATCCTGGGGTCCGCCTCAGTGCTGCCTTGCTCAGGAGGCCTGGGCCCCGCCCTGCCCCTCTCACCTTTCCCGGTTTCAGCAAGCCTCTCGCACTTTCAGGGACCTATCAGGGTCCTGCAGTGGGGCTGGAGGGGAGGAGCAGGGGGCTGGAAGAGGAACAGGCCAGAACAAGCCCTCCCCTCCCCCAGCCCCAAGGTGCTTTCCAGTAACTTGCCAGCTACCCTTGAGCAAGAAGCCAGGAGTGGATCCCAGAGCTTTCTCACCTTGGCCCGGCCTTCCCACCCTGGCCCACGAGGGCCTGCTGGTCCCCCTGCTCCCTGAGAGGCAGAAGGCTCTGGGGAGACCTGCTCGGGAAACAGGGCTCCGGCCCTGGCGTCCTGGGAGTTGACCGCTGCACCCAAGTCAGGAGGCCCAGACCTGGTCAGTCCCGCGTGACCCGGCCTGTCTTGCCTCCTCTAGCTCCAGTTTGTCACAGGTCAAAAAACAATGCTAGCTCTCCTTTCACCTTGTGATGGACACTGATGACCCGAGGGTCTTAAGGTCAGGAACGGCAGGCCACCCCACGAGCTCGGCTCTGAGCCACCTGGGGTCCCCCAAGCGCAGCGTGGGCCTGCCTCAGGACACACCGGCTGGGGTGGAGATCAGTGAGCTCTTTCCCTGCCTCAGGTGTGGGGAGCTTTCAGCCAGCATCGGACTCGCCCCCATAGACTCTGGGGAGCCCTGGCTGAGGCCCAGCTTTCTCTTCTGCAAAGTGGGGACAGAGCTGTTGTGAGGACTACAGAGGACACTCCAGACCCTGCCCAGCACCTGGCTCATGGTGCACCTGGGAGAGACGGACATGCCTCCTGTTACTGCCCTGTCCCACACGCACTTGCTGGTCTCTGGTCTCCAGCGTGCGGTCTGGCATGTCCTGAGACTAGGGCAGCTCGTGGGCTGGACATAAACGGTGGAGAGGCCTGGGGGGCTTACGTGCAGGTGGCAGCTGGCAGCTACCTGCCTGGGCTCTCCGTCTCTCGCTCCAGGCAGACGTTGGTGCTGAACTCTGGCGCAGGTGGGGACGGGGTGTCGACAAGGCAGCGGCCCTCCTGGCCTTGAGAAGCTGCTTTCTCCCACACCAGCTCTGCTCTCCTGAACCCCCATGCCGTCCTCGCCTGGGGATAGTGGGGTGCGTCACTGGCAGAGGGCACATGGTGCCTTGGCGGGGAGGAAAGAGAGGAGAGGCCGACCTACAGGCTGTGGGGCTTGATGGGAACTGGGGCGTCAGACCAGGCTTCTAGCCTGGGTCTCCTGCTGCTTTGCTGTGTGACCTTGGGCAAGTCTCTGCCCCTTTCTGAGTCTCAGATGCGCCTTCTGGATTGGGCTAGAGACGAAGTGACAAGTAGGGCTTGGCTTGTCTCACACGTCAAAACTGATTGCTGTTGCTTCTTTGAGCCCCACATGGAGCCCGCCCTGGGCTCAGCAGGAAAGCCTGTCTGTGCCTGGGGTGGCTGTGGGGGTGCCGTAGGCTTGCAGGGTGCGGGATGGCAGGACCCCCATGCCCCTGCCCGCGCTGATGGCCTTGACTCTCCTGCGCTTCTCTGCCTCCCTCCCTCCACGTCACTTCAACCAGTTGTTTCCCTTCCGCTTCAACACCTCCGCAGCCAGAGCTCCCTGTCCCCCCTCAGACAGAACTGGGAGGCTATTAGGCCCAGTGCTGAATTCCAACCTGCACTTGTGCCCAGAGAGATGACTGGGGTTCAGAAAACGCCCTTTGGATCTCAGAGCCTCGGTATCGCTTAATTTCTGCCTTCTGAAGGCATCAGGAGCTGCCGCTTTCTGCCATTTTATGACCGTGACACAGCCTCTGCACATTCCTTGAAAAATGCTCTCTGAAACCCCGCCAGGGGGTTTATCCAGGCATCCTGCAGGCTGTTGGGATCCCCCATTGTACAGGGAGGAGCCGCAGCTCAGTGGGCAGAGTGGGCCTCTCGACAGGCCTGGGCTCCTCTTGCCAGCTGCTGCCCTCGTCCCCAGCCCTGTCCCCAAGCCCCTGTGCGCCCGGCTCCCTGCAAACCCACGGCCTCCGTTCTCTCGCCCTCCCTAGGTTTCCACGTGATCCCCACTATCTCGAGCATCGTCCCGGAGAGCTGCCTGCTGATCGTGGTGGGGCTGCTGGTGGGGGGCCTGATCAAGGGCGTGGGGGAGACGCCCCCCTTCCTGCAGTCGGAAGTCTTCTTCCTCTTCCTGCTGCCGCCCATTATCCTGGACGCCGGCTACTTCCTGCCGCTGCGGCAGTTCACCGAGAACCTGGGCACCATCCTGATCTTCGCCGTGGTGGGCACGCTGTGGAACGCCTTCTTCCTGGGCGGCCTCATGTACGCCGTGTGCCTGGTGGGCGGCGAGCAGATCAACAACATCGGCCTGCTGGAGAACCTGCTGTTCGGCAGCATCATCTCGGCCGTGGACCCCGTGGCCGTGCTGGCCGTGTTCGAGGAGGTGCACGTCAACGAGGTCCTGTTCATCATCGTCTTCGGGGAGTCGCTGCTCAACGACGCCGTCACCGTGGTGAGGGCCAGCGGCAGCGCCCAGCCCCGCCCGTGCAAACCCCACAGCCGCCCGCTAACAGCAGTGGCGTCCGCTCATGTGCGCCCGGCGCCAGCAGGTCACCTCATGCAGCCCTCGTGACCGCTGAGGGTGCTCGCAGTTCACGCCCTGCGGGGGAGGAATCAGGCCCAGAGCAATGAAATAACTCGCCAGAATGTGGTAAAACGGGGTTAGAATCCAGCTCCAGCGCCGGCTCTTGGCCCCTCCAGGCCACAGGCCTGGCTTGCACGGTGGCGTGATCTGCCTTGTGTTTACGCTTTGTAGGCTAGTTAGTCTCTGCAGGCATGGCAGCTCCCATGGAGACTTTGTGCAGTTTGGGGGCAGCACTTGTAGAAAGGGCCCTGGCGCCCCCAGACTCCAGAAAGCGCCGAGTAGAACGGGCTGGCCGACGCTGGCCTCTCCGGGCCTCCCGGCGAGCAGCGGCACTGTGGCGGTGGAGGGCCCGGGCAGGGCCGCCCACGTGCTGGTACATGCCCTTCCTCCCGGCCAGCTTCCTCAGGAAACAGATGTGCGTATGTGCACACGCGCCGTGTGGTGAAGACATCCCGGCCCCCCTCTCCGGGCCTGGGGACCAGCTGCCCACACAGGGTCACGTGTGTGCGTGTAGCACACTCTCACACGAACACCCCTCTCCTCTGCCCCGGCCCCTCAGGAGCCCCGAAGAAGAGGCGAACAGCAGCCCCAGCTTCCTCCTCCCGCTCCTCCAGTGGGCTCCTCTTGGGGCAACGGCCCGGCCTGAGCCAGCAGGCCTCGGTCCTCATCTCTTGTTGCACCAGCTCTTGCCTAGGGTGACCCGGGCCTCCGTTTCCCCGTCTGTGGGCAGGATCATAGTACCCAGCTTGTCATGACCCCGGATTCTTGGGGGAGTCATTTATGCCCGTGAAGCCAGTAGATGCCAAAGACAAGGTCCTCTCCAGCTGGGGTGCAGTTTGGCACTACCAGGGAGCAGTGGGGTGTGGTTGTATCAGATGGACACCTGAGTCTGGTCACCTTGGACCCGTGGCCGCACTTCCTCATGGTGGTGGCAGTGGAGGTGGCCATAGCCTGTCTGAATACGAGGCACCTCATCTAGCCCCCACGGTAATTCCATAAGGTTGGCACAGCTTTTACCCCTCGATTTTCCAGGTGAGGAAACGGAGGCCCTGAGGGGCTATGCAACTCCTCCATGGCCATGTAGGCTGACGTAACAGGGCCAGGGTTCAGTCTACACAGCAAGTCCAGAGCCCAGACGCTTACCCCTCCACTGCCTCTCTCCAGTCCTGGGATGGCACCAGGCCAGAGAGGAGGCCCAGTTCCTGGGTCGTGAGCCTTGAGGGCCCGAGTGCTCAGGCCAGGAGCCGAGAGCTCGCCTGTGTCCACTACAGGAGCTCTCCCCTGCCGCACCGGGCCTCGCCAGCGCTCGGCAGTTCCCCTTCCTGCCTGGCCCCATCTGGCCCTCTCTGGAGTGCAGGGCGTGAGTCCCCCATTCTCCAGACGGCAGGCTGCAGGCCTTTGCCTCAGTTACCTCCCCTGGCCCCGTTTGCTGCAGGTGCTGCCCGGGTATGAGAGGCTTGGAGGCTTCCTCCTCAGAGAGCCTCCGCCCCTCCTGTCTCCCACCGGGCCTTCCAGGCCTGGGAACTCCCAGCTTCCTTCTTGGAAAAGCTCTCCAGGCCTAGACTTGCATAGGCTTGGCAGCCTAAGAGCAGGGAGAAACTCAAAACTGAACCCACCCAGAAGTCTCCCCCTCCCCAGCCATAAAGAACAAGTTCTGGGCCCAGTTCTGCTGCTCCCAGGCTGGCCCGCTGAGCCTCGGGCTCTCCGGGATCAGGTCTCTTGGCCCAGCTGCCTCGCAAGGCTGTGTCAAGCAGGGTGATGATTGTCCAGGGCCTTCCCATTCACAAAGTGCCACTGACACCCTGACGAGTGTCACAGTGGCTGTCCACGTCCGAGCCCAGAGGCGGGAGCCTGGGCGAGGCACTGCAGCCCCTGCGCTTGGCTGCTCATGACACCGCTGGGAGCTCGTTGGGTAGAGATTGCTGGGTACCCCCTCCAGAGTCCAGGAGGGGCACGGCCTGGCAGTGTGCATTTGCACAAAGCTTGGGAAGTTAAGCTTAGGTTAAGTTAAGGTTAAGAAGGGGCGTGCCCAAGGTCCAACGGTGAGTGCCAGGCCTTGTGCAGGTGTGGCCAGATCTCGTGGTGCAGGTATGGCCAGCATGGTGCAGGATCCTTGTGGAACCTTGCCTGAATGAGCTGTCTTCACCTTCACAACAGCCCCATAAGAGAGATACTGCTACCCTATTTATAGGGAGGAAATCTCAAGCGGAGGGAGACTGAGTAATTGCCCCCATAGACAGCTAGGGATTCCAGCCCACTCTCTGGCCTTCAGAGCCTGTGCACTGGACACACACCCGCCGCAGGACGATGAGGCTCTGGCTCCGGGACGGAGCACTTGCTTGGCACCAGGGCTTCTCTGCTTCCACGTGGCCTATTGTGGCGGTGGCCCACGGAGAGGACAGGGTCGCCCTGAGTGGGCCCCAGGGAGGGGTGGCGCCAGGCCCTGCCCTCCCAACCAACCTGCACGCCCTTCCCCAGGTCCTGTACCACCTCTTTGAGGAGTTTGCCAACTATGACCGCGTGGGCATCGTGGACATCGTCCTGGGCTTCCTGAGCTTCTTCGTGGTGGCCCTGGGCGGGGTGTTCGTGGGCGTGGTCTACGGGATCATCGCCGCCTTCACCTCCCGCTTCACCTCCCACATCCGCGTCATCGAGCCGCTCTTCGTCTTCCTCTACAGCTACATGGCCTACCTGTCGGCCGAGCTCTTCCACCTGTCGGGCATCATGGCGTGAGTCCAGGCAGCAGCTCGATGCGGTGGTGGGGGGCGCTGCCCACGCGGGTGCCCCAGGTTTGTAAGGGACATGAGGAAGCTCCCCAGAGCCCAGCGCCAGGGATGAGACAGCGGCGTCAGCTCCTGGCCCTGGGGCTGCCCTGAGGCCCGCTGTCCGGCTGCTCCTTCCAGCAGTCAGTCTCAGAGCCCTTGGGTCACAGCGAAACGCGGGCTCTTGAGCACCCCCAGGCCCGAGCTCCCATTAGTGAGGAGGCCTGGCATCCTGAGGCCTCCTGGGGCCTGGGAGATCAGGGGAACGTGGAAGGGCTCTGCGGATGGGTAGTTCCAGTGGGGGCGTCACAGGCACACCACTCCTGGATCAGGGGTTCAGGCAACAGTGGTGGGGGGTTCCCTACCGCGCCTGGATGGGGAAGTCAGGCCAGCAGGCTTGGGCCCCCTGGGGCAGGCACCAGGCCCGTATTCTGTATCAGTGTCTGGCCCTCAGGGGAGCTCAGGAACGCGGCCCCTGGCAGCCTCCCTGGCAGCGGGGGACTCTGACCCCTGATCCCGCTTTCCCTGCACAGACTCATTGCCTCAGGAGTGGTCATGCGCCCCTACGTGGAGGCCAACATCTCCCACAAGTCCCACACCACCATCAAGTATTTCCTGAAGATGTGGAGCAGCGTCAGCGAGACCCTCATCTTCATCTTCCTGGGCGTCTCCACCGTGGCCGGCTCCCACCACTGGAACTGGACCTTCGTCATCAGCACCTTGCTCTTCTGCCTCATCGCCCGCGTGCTGGGTGAGGGCGGGGGCAGTGCTGGGCGGCTCAGCACATGGGGACAGGTGGGAGGGTCCCCTCCCTCTCTGCAAGGCTGAGGCCCCCATCGTGGCCAAGATGGGGCTTTTCTGGGGAGACCGGCAGAGCGGGGAGCTCAGGGAGGTGTGTGAGGAGGGGTCGCAGCCCGGCCCAGCCCGTCAGTGTTCTCTGCGAAGCGGAGTGTTGCTCCTTTGAGCCTGGACCACAGCTGCGCTTTTTCCCGCGCAGCTACGGTCGTGACAGCCCCCCTGGGGTGCACCCGTTTCCCCCTGGGGTCACAGACCTGAGCTGCGCTGGTGTCACATGTGCTCAGTGTGCTGTGTTTGAATTCCTTTATTCCTGGACCTCCTCATCCAGAGGTTCTGATTCTGTGGGTTGAGTTTGGAACTAGATCTCTGCATTTTAATAACTTCATTTTGAAAAATTTCAAACACACAGAAAGTAGATCCCTTGCAGGCCCAGCATATGTAATGGTCATTGACTTGTATTTTGGTGGTTTTTTTTTTTTTTTTTAAAGATTTGTTTATGCATATAAGAACTGGGGTACAGGCCAGAGGTATGAGGGGATGTGAGAGGACTCAGCAGAGACAGTCGGGAACAGAACAGGGAGACTGACTGAAAGACATTGCAGCAGGGGCACAGGAGAGGTCTGCCGCCCTGTGGTCAGCTCCCTGGCAGGGACGGAACTCGTGCTGCAGTGGCTGCAGACAGCTTCATAGTGCTGCGCTTTAACCCCTTGTGCCACCAGGGAGGGTCCAGTCATTGACTTGGTTCCCCTCTTCTCCCATCCACCTCCCAGCCTCCGGCCCTGGAGCCCTGTGATCGTGCTAAAGTCCATCCAGGTTGGGGGCCCCTCTTAAGGATTCACTCAGTTCTTGGATGGAAGTGTTCTGAGCCCCCTGGGCTGAGGGGCCCAGGGGGTGAGCGGCTGAGCAGGCTGGTGGCAGGGGCGTCCTGAGAACTGGCTGGTGCAGAAGCCAGAGGGGCTGAGACCACCTGACCCCTCTCCCTGCCCCCCGACAGGCGTGCTAGGACTGACCTGGTTCATCAACAAGTTCCGCATCGTGAAGCTGACGCCCAAGGACCAGTTCATCATCGCCTACGGGGGCTTGCGGGGGGCCATCGCCTTCTCCCTGGGCTACCTCCTGGACAAGAAGCACTTTCCCATGTGCGACCTGTTCCTCACTGCCATCATCACCGTCATCTTCTTCACTGTCTTTGTGCAGGTGATGGTGGGGGGAGGGGTAGCCCTGCCCGGGGACCCCAACTCTGCCAATGACCCAAAAGGGGGTCCCATTCTTGTCCCGGCGCCACTGATAACTTGCTGCACACCCTTGGGCCAGCCACTAGCCCTTCCTGGGCCTCAGTTCCTTTGTTTGTAAAGGAGAATTGTGGACATAAGTCATCACGAAGTGACCAGAATGTTAAACAGCCTGAAGGCCACTCGACCTAGTAAGGAACCCCAAATTGTTGAGAGAAGCGGGGAAACAGGCCCAGGATGCTTATTGTAGGCCTTTAGGGAAGTGGTTTTAGATCTTGGGGTCTTACTTCTGTATCTGTAAAACGGGAATAACTTCACAACACGGGGAACTAGAAGGATCGCTGAGCCGGCAGCGGAAGGCCAGAGCCAGCCCCAGCTCGCAATGTCTGGGATCCTGGGAAAGACCCTCTTCCCTTCTCAGAGCTTAGTCCCCGCCTGTAAAGTAAGGGGACTGGACCAGATGTGCTCAAAGAATCCTTCCAATGTGCTGGGCAACCGTTTCTGTGCATTTCATGATCCAGGCCCAGCTGAGAGCCACTCGAACTCCAAGGAGGCGCAATTGCTGCCCCTTTGCCAGCCTGTGACCTTGAGCGAGGGCTCTGCCCGGGCCTCTGTGCCTCCACCAGCCCCTCCGTCCTTCCCGGCACCTGGTCCCAGCTGCGAGGCCCTGCAATCTCAGGGGGAGCTTGTTTCCTCATCTGCAAAATGGGCAGTGGGAGGCCGTGCCCCTAGGGTCACGTGGGTGTGGAAGCCCTAACACTTGTGAGGCAGAAGTGTGGTTAAGCCATCTGCTTTGTCACTGGGTCCTCGTCGTGGATCCTCGAGGGAGCAGAGCAGAGAGCCCTACCTGCCTGCAGCCCTGACACCCCCGGCACAGCAGAAACAGGGAGGTGGGGCCCACACTGACTGAGGCCCTCGGTCCCTGGCTGGCTTACTGACCGTGTGTCTTTGACTGGGTGGGCTGTCAGACATCCAGCTCTGTGAAGAAGCAGAGCTTAAGGCCCTGCCATAAGAGCATCCAAGCCCCAGGGTCCTGGGAGAAGTGAGAGGCACCGAACTGTCCCTGCCAGGGGAGCAGGGCTGGAGTGCCTGACACCCGCTTCCCCCCAGGGCATGACCATTCGCCCCCTGGTAGACCTGCTGGCTGTGAAGAAGAAGCAAGAAACAAAGCGCTCCATCAACGAGGAGATCCACACACAGGTACTGCCGGAGGCTGGCCTCCTGCTGGGGAAGGCTCAGAGGGCTGGGGAGCAGCTAGGCCTTCCGCCCATGCCCTCCCTCCCCACCAGCCCCTTGTCCCAGTGCTTGGGTGGCCCTGTAGACCCTTGAGGTCACCAGGTGACATTCCACAGAGAGGTGTAGTATGAGTACCCAGAGGTTGGGGAGAGGGCGTGGGGCCATCTTCACCTCAGTCAGGAATCCATCCCAGGCATCAGGCACTGGCACTGACGGGTTTAGGAGGAGGGGGGCTCGGCAGAGCCCCAAGGTAGAGGATTGGAGATGCTGAGTTGTGGCCCTGGGGTTCAGGATGAGTGGGGTGTGGGCGCCACCTCCTGGCTACTCTTAGAACTACAGGGCTGGGCTGGGCTGCGCAGAGCTGCAGCTGGGGTGCCAGGTGGGGCTCCTGTCAGAAGGCTTGGTGGGGGAGGAACCCGACAGTGAGGCTTGACCTGGCCCTGGGCCCGTTTCAGTTCCTGGACCACCTTCTGACAGGCATCGAGGACATCTGTGGTCACTACGGCCACCACCACTGGAAGGACAAGTAGGTGGCAGCCTGGTGGGCCGATGGGTGGGAAGGGGCCGGTAAGGGTCTCCCGGGGCCTGGCGTGTCCCCCTGCCCTGGGAGCTGGCCCCAGGGTCTCCTTCCTGCTCCCTGCAGACTCAACCGGTTTAATAAGAAGTACGTGAAGAAGTGTCTCATCGCCGGGGAGCGCTCCAAGGAGCCCCAGCTCATCGCCTTCTACCACAAGATGGAGATGAAGCAGGCTATCGAGCTGGTGGAGAGCGGAGGCATGGGCAAGATCCCCTCTGCCGTCTCCACGGTCTCCATGCAGTGAGTGCCAGCTCGGCGCTGCGCCCGCCAGCCACCCCTCCACCCTCACCTCGTCCCCTGGGGTGGGGAGCAAGGACCCGGCTTTCCCGTGCCCCCAGCCCATCCGTAAAGCCCTCTGGCCCAGCCCACAGCTCCAGGGGCACAGGAATTTTCTTGGCCTAACCTGTGTTCTGTTTGCCCAGAAACATCCACCCCAAGGCCCTGCCTGCTGAGCGCATCCTGCCAGCACTGTCCAAGGACAAGGAGGAGGAGATCCGCAAAATCCTGAGGAACAACCTGCAGAAGACCAGGCAGCGGGTGAGGACCTGCCCCCCGCCTGGCTGTCCCGTCCCGCAGCAGAGGAGACCCTCTCTGCACCGGCCCTGCCCCCCGGCCCAGCTTCAGGACCCCACCCCCTGCTCACAGCTGCTCCCCCCACAGCTGCGGTCCTACAACAGACACACGCTGGTGGCAGACCCCTACGAGGAGGCCTGGAACCAGATGCTGCTGCGGAGACAGAAGGCCCGGCAACTGGAGCAGAAGGTGCGTGCGGACTGGAGCCAGCTCCTGCCTTTCTCTGGCAGTCTGGGTTCCTCTCACACCCCCACTTCTAAGCCCCTCTGAGTCTGGTGTTGAAGGCTGAGCCCAGGGCAGGCCCCAGCGAGCTCCCTCCCCCAGCTCCTCTCCTCAGAGCCAGGGTCCCTCATTGTCCCTCATTGCCTCCCCAGCATCTGAGCTACAACGATCCGTCCATGTTCTCTGTCCAACCCCCCAATTTTCTGGTAAGAAAATGAAGGCGGGTGGGGGAGGGGAGGCAGGCAGGGACCTGTCAGAGTCACAGTGAGGCGCACACGCTTTGCTGTTTGTTCAGGAAATGCCTGTTGAGGTCCCTAAGTGCCAGGCAACAGCGTAGCCTCTGTGGACCCACAAATCGGCTCGGCCCGCGCCTCCCCTTACCTGGCTGGGCCCAGAGCCCCTGGGCCAGCTGGGCAGACAGTGGGGTAGGCTCAGGAATGAGAGCGGAAGGAGGTGGGCAGGGAGGTTCAGGCAGAAGGAAGAAGTGGGCCTAGTTCCCAGTCACAGAATTTGGCCCTTCCTAGGAACTGAGAAGTTCTGCTCTTGGGGAGCCTCGTTAATGGTGTACAGCTTTGGGCTCTACTCCAGGGTGTGGAGAGTCTCGAAGGGCTCCAAGCAAGGGGTGACACAGGGGGTGCCGGATGAGGGCAGAGGCAGGGGAGAGGGACAGGAGTGCAGATTCTAGGGGTGTCTGGGAGGTGGACGTATAGGCCGTAGACACCAGCCGGAGGGAAAGAGCGGGGTTCTGTCTGAGCAATGACTGGGGTGGTGAGGAGGGGTGTTGTCACAGGCGACTCGCAGGGCGGAGCAGATGCGGAGGGGAGATCAGGACCGAGCTCGCTCCGGCCTCCTTGTGAAGACCCCGGGCCATCCAGGCCAGGGCCGCGTTCCTGGCGAGACCTGAGGGGGCGGGACCAGAGGCCGGGGGCTGTGTCACCAGAGCAGTCGCTGGGGACGCCCCTCATGAACCCAGGGGTGCCAGCAGGGCTCTGGTGCTGGCAGGAGCAGCTGAAGCGCCTGAGCAGGAACGGCCACCCAGAAGGCCACCCTGGAAGCGCCACGGGGTCGCCGCCCACCGGGTGTCCTCCCCAGGGGCTGCCCGCACTCACCCTGTCTGCGCTTTCTCTGTCAGATCAACAACTACCTGACAGTGCCCGCCCACAAGCTGGACTCGCCCACCATGTCTCGGGCCCGCATCGGCTCAGGTGAGGCAGGGCGCGGGTCCCAGGAGGGCTTTGCGGCTGGGCACGGGCCGTGACACCTGAGCGTGAGGCCTCCACAGGCAGGCCCAGCACCCTCTCCTGGCTTCCTCAGACTTCCTCCCAGGCTCTGAGCATCAGGGGCAGTTGTGGGCACCCAGAGCGGGCAGCGAGCGTACCCTAAAGCAGGGCGGGGCAGGACCTCTGCCTGAGGGGAGGCAGGAGTTCGCACCATCCAGATCTCCAACATGGGGTTGGGGTGGGGGGAGCCACAGGGCAAGGCCCTGACTTGGGGGACACCTGTGAGGCCCTGGCTTTGGGAGAGGAACCCGGTCTGAAGGACAGGTCCAGGCCTGCGCAAATCCCGCGAGCATGCTGCATGGGGGGGGGGGGGGGGCGTGGCTGTTGCTCCACAGGCGGAGGTGGGGCGTGTGCTGGGCAGGGTTCGGGGGCAGAAGCCAGCTTGGGCCTCGCCCTCTGTCCCCAGATCCGCTGGCCTATGAGCCGAAGGCCGACTTGCCTGTTATCACCATCGACCCGGCCTCCCCCCAGTCGCCCGAGTCCGTGGACCTGGTGAACGAGGAGCTGAAGGGCAAGATCTTAGGGCTGAGCCGGGACCCGCCCAGGTTGACAGAGGAGGAAGACGATGACGGGGGCATCGTGATGCGCTCCAAGGAGACCTCGTCCGCAGGCACCGATGACGTCTTCACGCCCGGGCCAAGCGACAGCCCCAGCTCCCTGAGGATACAGCGCTGCCTCAGTGACCCGGGCCCCCACCCTGAACCTGGCGAGGGCGAGCCTTTCATCCCCAAGGGGCAGTAGCCCGGGACCAGCGGTGGTGCCCGCCCGCCACAGACTGCCCCGAGCAGGGGCTGCTGGGAAGCAGGGGCGCCCCTCGTCCTTCCTCACCTGGACTGGCCCTGCCCCCACCGCATGGCAGCTGGGCCCACAGCCCCCGTGCAGCACGGCTTCCCGCCTCCCTCCCATCGGGCTGCCGTCCCAGCCACTCGGCGGAACTGCTGGGCGGGGAGGCAGGCCTGCCCTCCTCCTCCGGGCTCTCCCACACTGGACTAGGGCCTCTGGGTCTCCCGACCTCAGGGGCCACCCTGCCGCACTCCATCAGCCTCCTCATTCAAACCAATCTTAGTTTCTAACCAAAGAGCCTCTGGCTCAGCCTTGGGCCCACGTGGGAGGGAAGGAGCCGAGGCCTCCTGGGTCCTTCTGTAACAGGGAAAGTCCAGGGGGCCGGGCCTGTGACAGCAGGAGGGACTGGTGACCGTCACAGCCCCGCCGCCTCCTGCAGGCCCTGCCACCCTGCCGGCCACCTGACCTGCCCTTACTCGGAGCTGAGGGCATCGGTGAGCTTCTGCGTGGAGCTGGGACACGTTGCATCGTGATGTGACTCAGCTTTTCGGACTGTGCCCGCCGGGACCACCAGCCCTGCAGGCGCTGCTGCTGCGGGGGAGGGACCACCGGGCTCCAGAAAGTGCTGCCTTTTTTATGTTTGTCTGTTCACTCTTCCGTGTACGATTCTATTTGCACAGAGGGCGTTCCTGTTTTACAAAACTCTGGCTCAACAGCTCTGGCCCTCCTACTCCAGAGAACTAGCCCTCTTCGTGCGTGCCGGTCTGCCTGCCCACTGCTCTCCCTCCTGTCCGTCCTCTGCCTCCTGGGCTCTTGTGTGAGGCCCCAAGTCTCTGATTTCTGAAGTGGCCGCCACCCCAAATCTGATTCTCTCTAACTCAGATGCCGGGCTCCTGGCCCCTTGCAGCTGGGCCCCGTCCTCAGTCCCTGATGGTCTCTTCTTCCTCCCCCCACCCAGTGGCCCCTGGATCTCCTCCCTCAAGTGCACCAGGCTGTGGCCCCAGTCCTCAGGGGAGCAGGTCTCCCTGAGCATCTCCCACCCGGGTGGGACTGTTGGGGGTGGGGGAGTCCTGGGCACCCTGAGGCCTTTGCTCACAAGCACACACTCCTGCCCCCGCAGCCACCATGACCAGGCCCAGGGTCGTGGTGTCTGTCCCCCCACACACACAGGGCGCTCGCTCCCCCAGGATCGTGCAATAGTCAGTCCCCTCTTCCCAGTGGACGGGCAGTGGGTGCTCATCCGTCCCCCTCATGCAAGTGCTGTTTTGGGCAGGAGTCACCACGCGGGGGTGACGTTGACAACCACGTTCAAAGCCACCACAGCCACCGCCGCTCTGCCGCTGTACAGAAGAAACCGAATCTTTTTCATATTCTAATAAATCCGTGTGAGTTTTTAGTAGCGTTAAGGGCTGCTTCTTGAGGTTCCGGGGCTTTGGGGAGTGGGTGGCCTGAGGGTCCCAAGGTCTTAGCTCAGCTGCTGTTGCAGATTCCGCTTAATCCGCGTCAGCTGCTGTGTGGTCTGGCACCATCGTGAGCAAAGCAGGGTGCTCAGGAGCATCAGCCTTGCCTTGCACATGGAACGTTCTTGTGGAGCCCAGTGTGTTTATGAATGAAAAGCCGGGAGATGGAGAGGGGGCTCCCCACGTGATGTCCTGGGACAGGACTAGAGAAGGAGCTGAGCTCAGCCAGGTGGAGGTTTCAGAGAGTTCCTGAATATTCTAACTGGGATCTGCACCTGCGAACACCACAGGGTCTACGAACAGAGCAGAAGCTGGGTCAAGAGCAGGGCTGAGAGCTTGCTGCCCACCGCTAAGCTTCTGGTCTTTATACTAAGGCAGTGGAACAGGTATTGAAGCCTCCTGTTCTCACCTGTAAAATGGGGGCAAAGACACCTGGGTGAAATATGCCCAGGTGTGTCAGGGCTGGGCCAGCACTAGTGTCCAGGGCTAACTCCCGCAGAGGTTGGGTCTCTGAGGTGCACTTCCAGGAGCTGGCCACCAGAGGGCAGTGGGACCTCAGGGCACACCCCAGGCAAAAGGTGGGGGCCTGGACGTTCTCTCCCTGTGTCTGTGGGTGTTCCAAAAAGAAAAGCGATCCTGAAGCGCCCTCAACTCAGGGTTCTTTACAGAAGTGTGGGCAGAGTCCCCGGAGCCTACCTGCCACGGGACCCAGGGCTTCAGCTACAGGAAGCCATCCTGACCCCCGGCGCCACAGAAAGCAAGGAGGGGCTGGGATTGTGCCCCTGGTGGCAGAACCAGCCCCTGCCAGGCAGGGAGCAGGGCGTAAGCTGACTTGGGTCCTACCGATGCCCCCCCTTAGCCACCCAACGGAAGGGAAGGCGCCTGAGTGGCCCCAGTCCCCAAAGTCAGCCTCCCAGCGAGGGAGAAGGGGGCTCGGGAAGCAGCGTCAGAGCAGAGCCTTGCTCCTCCCTGCCGGAGGAACTCACATCCCTCGATGGTTCCCTAAAATGGTTCATTTTATGTGAGGTGAATTTCACCTCCATTTTTTAAAAAAATGCTCACACCCAACCAGAGAAAGTCTCATTAACCTCCATCCATCCCTGCCATGCCCCTCGTTGCCTGTCATCCTTGCCTGGCGGCCCCTGACCAGTCATCCCAGGGCCTCCTGGTAAGACAGCCGGGCAATGCAACAACAGAAACATCCCCGCACCCCAAGGCTGGCCAAAGACCCACGTGAGCCCTCGTGGCCTCGTCCACGCTCCTCTTTCCAGCTGCCAGCACTTCAGTGGGCTGAATTCCTAACCCTTGACGCCGGTGCATCTTGGGTTTACTGGCCTGATGGTGAGCGGCCAGGTTGGCCCCTGACCGTCGCTGTTGGACGTGGGACACCTGAGACACCCAGGAACCCCCCTGGATTCCAGGCATAGGCACCTTACACTTTCCTTCTGATAATCCAAGTTACCCAGCGTATTTGGTGGCGGTGACTTGAGCAGTTTAACACATCTCAAAATGGCAAGCGGGAAGACGCTGCTTCCAATGTAAAGGAGCCACATCTGTGTTCCCAGAATGTTCCTCTTCCGGGCACTAAGGACTCCAGGCCCCCTAACAAAGTCGGGAGGGAGAGCGGAATTCCGGCTGTTCCGACCAGCAGAGAGAGCCACACCCACGTCCACCGTGGCCCCTGGGCCTCTGCAGTCTGGCTGTGATGGAGGCAGAGCTGCTGTGGCCGCTGGTTTAAAGCTTATTCCACTTCGGGCACCGGCCTTGCAGGGCAGCGCCTCCCGCTGGGGCTGGAGCGTCGTCTGTCTGGTCAGTCAGTCTGAGCGACGGGGCACGTTAGTCCAGAGCACCCATGGGCGAGGCCGTCGCTGGGGGCTCTGCACCAGGGTTGAAGCACGCAGCGCACAGGACCAGGCGTTCAGAGAGCCCAGGCGTGATGGTGCCGGCAGAAGCTGTGTGAGCAGGAGAGGCAGGTCCGTGTGGACGGGACGTGTTTATTCCCAAGAAGGAGGCGGTCAGTGTCATCAACCTGCTGATAGGTGGCCAGCTGGGCCCCCTAGGGCAAGGGCTCTCAAATTTTGTGGACTCAGGAGCTCTTTATTGGAAAGTTATGCTTAAAAATGACAAAGCACTTTTGTTTCTTTGGGTTATATCTATTTTACTAGATTAAATATTAAAGCTTTGAAATATTTACAACGAACAAACCCCTTACATGTTAACATAAATAAAACATTTTTAATGAAAAATAACCTGTTCAAAACAAAAGGTGTGAGAAGAGTAGCATAGCTGACGTTTCTGCGAATCTTTTCAGACTGGCTTTAGGAAGACGACTACATCTCAAAACCTGCGGCACTCAAGCTGTTCTACAAGGAAAATGCCACTGTATACCCATAAAAGGATAGCGAAAAGAGCAAAGAATGTCATCGTTTTAGCATAAATAGATTTAACCTAACAGCCCCCTGGAGGGTTTCCTGTTCCATACTTTGAGAGCCATTGTCCCAGGGCATGGTGCCCTATGGGAAATTCCCTTTGGTCTTGGATGTTGGCAGCCTTGGCACTCAGCAGTGCCCATGCCAGCTCAGATCTGGTGAGGGCAGTGTTGAGGAGTTTGGTAAGGAACATGTGTGTTCACTTCCTAGGGTTGATGTCGTAGAGGAGCGTGGACGAGGCCACGAGGGCTCACTAAGCCACAAGCTCAGTGGCTTAAAACAACACAGAGCTGTTATCTATGGTACGAGAGGACAGAGCCAGAAGCCAGAATTGAGTCTCCCTGGGCTAAAATCAAGTTGTCAGCAAGTAACCGTCTTTCCTGGGGCTCTCGAGATGCTTCCTCTTGTCTTTTCCAACGTCTAGAGGCTGCCTGCCTGCCCTGACTTGCACCTGGTTCCATCTTCAAAACTAGTCATGTCCTGCCCAGACTTGGTCCTACGAGGCCACTGGCACCACTCTGCCCCCCGCCTCCAACTTAAAGACCCTCGTGATTACACTGGGCCCACCCAGTACAGGACAATCTCCCTTTTTTTAAGCTCAGCTGATGAGCAACCATACTTCTGTTCATTCTTAATTTACTCGTTGTCATATAACATATTCACAAGTCCCGCGGCTTCCGATGTGGACATCTGGAGAGGGGGGTCATTATTCTGCCTCCCCTACTCCGAATAGCCCCTACCCCCACCACTGTGGCCACTTTGTATGTAGAGCCACCGAGCCAAGGTAGCTGGGGAAAGAAGTGGCCATCTGTGGCCAGGTCTTTCTCCGCCGGGCTGCTGGGGGCATCCTTCACAGACGGACACCCTCGCTGGACACTTGTGTGGAGTGAAAACAGGTTCACTTTAAGCAGTGCATTCTACAGACCTCCCTTAGGCCTCCAAATCCCAGTCAGCTGAGCCACAGTTTGTGAATCAGCATCAGTCTGTAGCTTGGGTCATCTCTCCTTCCACGCAAAATGGACGTTCAGTATAACCAGAGCTCTGTCCACTGGGAGGGCGCCTCTCATCTTCGGCTTTTCAAGGTTCCCTGAACGTGGCTTTACTGCCGCAGTTGCCACTTATAGTTGGTGCTGGCGCTCCAGGCAACCTCATGTCTGATTTTTCCCCCCTGTGTTAGCTGGTCAGAATGACACCCCCAACTGTGGGTTGTGAGGTGGGGGGTAGAGGGAGGAACAGTGAAATAAGAGTAAATACCGGGGAGTTTGAGCCACCTGCTCACGTACCTCCCTTGTGCCTTCTGGGCTTGCTCAGACCTGACCTAATCCATCAAGCACCAGAAGGCACCTGCACTTCCAACCCTGTGATGGCATAGGTCAGGTACTATCCAGTTCTGGTTACACGGGTCACTTGGTGCCCACAGTCAGCCTCCGCCTGTCCAGTCATGAACCAGGAACTGATTTATTGATGCACACAGAATTGGGGTACAGGCCAGAGGTGCAGGGGCGGGGAAAGGATTGGCCAGAGACAGAGTGGGGAGCAGAACTGACGACTGACTGAAATACACTGCTAGGGGAAAGCAGCGGGCGAGACAGGAGAGGTTTGCTGCGCCCTGTGGGTCAGCTCCTAGCCAGGGATCGAACTCAGGCTGCGGCAGTTACGGACAGCTTCACAGTGCTGCGCTTCAGCCCGTTGGGCCACCAGAGGGGGCCCCAGGAACTGATTTTAAATGGAGAATAATTATGGGCAGAAGGCCTCAGCGCTGGTAACTGCACCACGTGTCTGTGAGAGCTGTGCCATCGGCCATCTTTTTCTGCCCCTGCCTCTTCCAGACCGTAAAGCTCTCAAGACAGCTTGCTCTGCAGTCTCGACCTACTGCAGTTTTATCTGGCTGCAAAGCTCCCTCAAAACGTGCCCTCTTGGGCGTTCTGCCAAAGATGGCCTGTGGCTTGCCTCAGAAATCCAGGGTCCCTTCGAACATTTGGCCTCTTTCTTGTAGCTATAGTATAAGGCTCAACAACTATCTCTCATCTTAGAGCAGCTGTCATGACATGCATGGACCACTGGACACCCTAGAAACTTCACTGGCATGACAAGCCTCAGGATTTTGTGGGACCCATCACCCTTCCTTGGGCATCTGTACATTCCACAGAAATCTAAAGTGCTCGCTATTTCCTGAGCACTGGATCCAGTTACCATACTGTCACCAGCACAAAGGGCCAGCATCGTGTTCTGAACTTTATCAGATGACAATGTCCCTTTGCACCGGGAGGAGAGAAACCAGGAGAGCAGACTAAGCCCAAGGAGTAGCGGGGAGGTGGGCTGTCGCCCCTGCCTCCCACAGGCAAGGTGTTTCTGATTATCTTTGCTTAGGGGAAGAGGAGACAGCGTTTGGGGTCAAAATGTACAGCAGGCCCAGAGTTGTATTGATCTGTGCCAGTAAAATGCCGTCTCTGGAACTGCAGCTGCACTGGCATCACACCGATCAGCTTCACAGAAGCTGCAGCCCGCCCCA